GTTGAAAACTCGCAGAGTTATTTAATAAAATACATTTCGCTTGCAATCAGAAAAAACATTGAAAATGTAATATTCAATTTTCTCCCGAAGAATTTTACGGCAATTACTGATTTTTAAACGAGTTGTGCTCCTGCGGGTTTTAACGAACTGTTCTCAAATTTTCACAGGACATAGCTAAATACGTCAGTTTCAAAATGGTGTTCGGCTTTGTTCTAATTTTGGATATTTTAATAATAAGGAGCAATTCACACAAACGATTCAGAAACATATTGCATGCAGTCGTCAAAGAAATCGCCATATCAGCGGAATGACGAAATAAACAAAAATTTCCGAACACAATTTTTTAGAACAACTATTTTACTGTATAAAAATGATATTTTCATAAATATATCTTAAAACCAGCAGGAACATAACTCAAAAGAGTAAAGGTACCGCGACTTAACATTTTTCTGAATAATGCTTACATTATTTTATTGTTTGTCAATCTTACAACTTTATCATACTTATTTTGCAATTACACTGACGAACATTTGGTGAAAATTTGATGAAAATCGGACTGATATTGAGCGCGCAGTAGCGATTTTCCACAAAACGCCAAAAAGGGTGTCATGTAACCTTAAAGCACACATAGCTGGAGTGCTAATTATCAGATATAAAACACGAGAGCGCCGCACGAGTGTTTTATATCTGATAAAGCATGAACTGCCAGCGTTTTAAATGGCTTAAAAAACGACCCATTTGATGAGTATACATTGGCGAAGTGATTTTAAAAATAAACGTTGTCTAGCCGAGAAAATCAATTGGCTAAAGAGTGCTAAAGTTTATGTGAATTAACATGATTTTTTATCACCTATAAAACCACTGACACGGCGATGATTTCTTTTGTCTTTTCCTCATAAATTATCGAGTTTTTAAAATTACAATGCAAAAACCTAGAGCAGGTCGGGTTTTATTTTTTTTTTTATAAATGCTCATACATAAATTAAATGATATTTTACTTCAATGGGTGATTCCTGAGCTACGGACGAAATTTTGATCTAGACAAGAAGAACGAAATCCAACACCGCACCTAGAAAGAGCGTCTTAAAATGAGTAAAATTGCAAAGTTTGGTTGCGAAATGTTGTAAAATGAGGAAAATATAGCCCTGTGAAGTTCGCAGATTTTGTATATATTTGTATTACGCGCGGTATAAATAACCATTTCTCGCTCAAAAATGGTTATTTTTCTTGCGCGTAATGCAAATATATACAAAATTTGCGAACTTTACAGAGCTATATTTTCCTCATTTTACAATATTTCGCAACCAAACTTTGCAATTTTACTCATTTTAAGATGCTCTGTCTAAGTGTGGTGTTGGATTTCATTCTTCTTGTCTAGATCAAAATTTCGTCCATAGCTGGAAATCACCCATTGTTAAATGTTATCATGTCAACTTTGAAACAAACACAGGGTTCCAAAATCCAAATACACAGTCAATTTTTTACACCCCTGTCTCACAGGCGCAAAACACGTGCTAATTTCTTTATTTTTATTTGTGATCTAGTTATTGGAAATCACTAAGTTACGGCCCCTCCAAGATTTAACAAACCTGGACCTCCAAGGCAATCCGTTTAGTAGTCTGCCACATTATCGTCAGTTCGTTATCTATCAGTTACGTAGTCTGGACGTCTTGGATAATCAGACGGTCACGAAGGAAGAACGACGTCAAGCAGACATGAGATTTGCTCAAGGTGAAGTATCAGAACGTCAAAATTTTAGTGACCGGGGCAGCCCGGGGAAAACTTAATCAAGGCCAGATTTTGGTGGAAATAGTGGGGGAGGTGGAAAATAATTTAGCGAAGGTGACAGGTGTAGCGGTCTAGCTCACGACCCCCATGGAAAGTTATTAGGACTTAAAGCGGTTTTCCACTAGGCGAAATTTTTCGACCGAATCGAAATTTTCTTTTGTCTTACAAGCACTCAGATGGAACTAAACAGAAATCTTTTGAATTTGAACAATAGAAATTTCGGTTCGATCGAAAAATTTCGCCTAGTGGAACGACGTGACGTATGCATGTAGTCAACGACGTGACGTATGCATGTAGTGTACATCTGTAACACTGTATTAATAGATTATGACTGTACAACCAAAGAGAAAATGGTTGGGTAAACAAAATTTTGAGTGAGTAATGTTTTGTCATTTCCAAAGCGTGACTCACTCAAATATTGAAGACTAAAAAGCAATGTCGAAAACTATCATAATCATGATCGTTTTCCGATTTGTCAGGAGGCAAATGTTGTCTCCAAAGAAAGTACATGTACAGTACATGTGCAGACAACGTGAAACTTTGCAATGTAGAACATTGCACAATTAGTTATCAAACTCGTGTCACAGAAGTGGTAAAGAACATGTGTGACAACTCAATGGTATCCTTTTCGGTAACATTTTTGGCCAGGGGTGGGTATTTATTTTTAATTGATATTTAAGATTGGGTAAAACATTTTTTGACTTCTTTTATCAAGAAGAACATTCCCTCTTCGATGCCAACCCCCGCCATAAATTATGACCGATCCCTTTCTCTGAAAGCTCTGCTTTGCCAAATATTAAATTGCAGAGGAAGTACAGCGACTTGAGGTTGAGCTGACAAAACAAGAGAAGCTTCACCAAGCGTTAGAAGATGAGAAAAACAAAGCTAATGAAACAATTGAACAGTTGACGAAGACTCAAAACTCGATGAAGGAGAAAGAAAAACGACAAGCAGAAAGAATGAAGGAACTGGAACAAGATATCGAAGCTAAGAATACATTGGTAAGTAGTGACTGACAGATTGTGCCACAGTCGGAAGTGACCGATTATTCTTGGGTTTCATGTGACGTCACGTGGGGGGGGGGGTCAAGGTTCTGTGTCAAGGGTAAAGGACGGCTTCTATATTGTTCTATATTGGCTTTTATATTAGTCGGAGAACTCATTTACATACCATGCGTTGACAGCCATTTTGTTTCTTTGTTGTTTTAGTTGGCCTCAGTTCAATGATTGACCCTTACTTGAGTCAAATTATGCTAAAACATCACGTGACTTAAACCCAAGAATTCGTGCAATATACCGATACCGATTTTATAATGACGTCATAATCTCAGTCGACCGAGCAAAGGTGACGTCATTCATTTCGATTTTTAATGTCGCGGCAAAAGGATTTTTAATGATCGCGGCAAAAGGACTTACGCCCGTATTCTAAAATGAGTGGAGGTTCAATCTGAGCTTCTCTTGAGTATCAATGCTATTTAACAATTAGACAACGAGGCCGAGTTGTCTATGAGCGAATAGTCAACGAGGGGAAGCCGAGTTGACTATTTGCTCATAGACAACGAGGCCGAGTTGTCTAATTGTTTTAATATAAACTTTAACATTAATTTACAACTAGGCTGCAAATACAATACAAAAATACACAAAAAACATTATAAAACCATTAAAGGTTAAACAAATATTTTAGTTTTTGTTCGCGTAAAATGTTTTACAAAATTCAGTTTTAATTTTAAAATTTCATTGTGTGTATGTTATTTTGTCTATTTTCTTACCCTTAAAAATTGCCATTCCATATTTTTGTTGCTTTTTTCGGGTTTTTTTAGTACAGAATTGTTCAACAAGTCGTCCAAAAAATCATCAGATACTTAGGCAAAAGTGCAAAACGCGAATTTTCCGCCATTTTGAATTTGCTATTAGTAGGCTATCACTAATAGCCTACTAGTAGCGTAGCCAATCAGAAGCCACGATATGTGATAGCCCACTAGTTGGTTTATACTAATTTTGAATAGCTGGAGGGTGAGTAGTCACATAGTAAGGTGTGACACTAGCCCTCCAGCTATTCAAAAACAGCAACCTTGACCCTCAAGAGAAGCTCAGATTGAACCTCCACTCATTGAGTGTGAGTGAGCTTTTAGAATACGGGCGTTAATGTGCTTTTAATCTTTGGCAAACACTAATATATGCTAATTTTTGAAGTGCGTATTTTCTCAATAATCGGTTATACACTATCGGAAATGCAGATAATTCTTCCGATAATTATCGATCAATTACTATTGGTAAGCAGTACTCTAGACCAAGATGTCAAAACTGTGGTGTGGCTATGTATTTTTTGTGGACGTGGTAAAAAAAACATGGCGTTTGTGAATCAATGGATGATTCCAGCGGCTATAGATTAAATTTAGAACAAAATCCATCACCACAGCTAGAACGAGCATGTTAAAATTAGGGGTTGTGCCTTGCAGGGTCTCGTTTTCCCGTTTGCACTAGCCCCATTGGACGTTCACCTTGTAATCTATAATGTTTATGCCCAATAAAGCTGATAAAATAAAATAAAGTGAAAAGGGCTTAACATTTTTATTGTTTAAATTAAGGTAAAAGCGAAAAATGCAGATCTAATAAAAGCTTCAGAGAAGCAGTATAGACTGGAGCAGGAACTGGCATTTTATAAACTGGATGCAAAATTTGAACTCCTGGGTCAGATGCCTTTGCTTGATGATGAACAGGTAAGGGAATAGTCAAACATAGATCTTATTAGACCCCTTGCCTTGTTTACGTTTTCTGACAGCCAAAAGTTTCAAAAATGTTCCCATGAGAGCTTTGTCATTGTCAGATGCATTGTTCAAACACAAGAGAACATGTTCTTTTGTATAATCATAATTTGCCTGCCAGCAAAATGTAAACAAAGGCAAGGGGTCTATAGAGCTGTCCGGTACGCGTTATTTCGTGTAGGGACGATGTGCTAATCATCATCCGTATACTTGCAACTGAGAGCTGAGCAGAATGGACCTATTCCCTAATGAACAAAATTTTGATCTAGACAAGTCTAGACAAAAATCGCATCACAGCTTGGAAGAGCAGCACAAAATTAGTACGATTCCGAAGTTTCGTTGCAAAAATGTTGTAAAGTGAGGATAATAAGCCCTGCGAAGTTTGCCGTTTTTCAGTCATTTTGTATTACGCACGGGAAATTGATACCTTTTTTCAGAAAGCGGTGCCATACGTGCGTAATACAAAATGACTGAAAAACGGCAAACTTCGCAGGGCTATATTATCCGCATTTTACAACATTTTGCAACGAAACTTCGGAAAATTACTAATTTTGTGATGCTCTTTCAAGCCGTGATAAATGTTTTGTCTAGACTTGTCTAGATCAAAGTTTTGTTCACTAGGGAATAGGTCCATTGCGAAGGACCCAGCTTAATCTGATCGAGTCAAAGGCTTTCCGATCTAAGGGCGCCTCTGACAGTCATGTTATGACTCATATTAATCTTGAAGGTCTGTGCCAGTGCAGGCTTTGCCAATATTAACAAAACCAGGGTTCGTACAAAACTTGAAAGTCCTTGAATGTCCTTGAATTTGAAAACAAAAATTCAAGGCCTTGAATGTCCTTGAATTTGTAAAGAAGTACTTGAATGTCCTTGAATTCTTCTTGCTTTAGTTTTTGGATATT